TCAAAAAGAAAGCCAACATTTTTTTTTATGGTATTTACTTATGGTAAATTTTATGTATTTTAAGATTAATTTCTCTTATGAATCTTAAGAACATATCTCCCACATTAGCTAGATGCATTTAAGGAAATTAATTTTTTTTTATACTAACCCCAAGATTTAAACCCATGACCTAGCTTACAAATTTCATTTATTAGTAAATCCAATCATTGGAGTTAGGAAAACCAATTAGGTAGGTCAATTTTCAAATTGATTAAATATATAGAGTTAGTTCATTGATTATATAAAATTTAATATTGTTAAATTTATGTTAAAAATATAGTTTTTTAATTGAATAATTATAAATATTAGATGAACTTGAAATTTGGAATGCATGATTTACATAAATAGATTATTTAATCTAATTATTGATTTTTCAAACTATTTATTAGAAGATAATATTTTTAAACTCAAATTTACTAATATACATTATTTTCTTAAAAAATATTTGTATATTTTTGGTAATTACAGTTAGGGTATTCTTGAGTTAACTTTTGCACACATCAAAAGTAATCTCCTATTCAAGTGATCTTAAGGACACACTCTTACATTAACCTACTAAATTTAAGAAAATTAATTTTTTTGAGTACTAGATCTAAGACTTAAAATATTTATTTGCGCAACTAATAGTTACTCCCATTGTTTAACTTTAGTGAGTCTTAGTATTTTTTTTTCCTAAGAAAATAAGGATGTAATAATTTATTGATAAAATTTTATATTTATCTCTAATTAATTATTAGTTGGGTATAACAACTAGATACTCCGGAACTAGCCAACCGGCTAGGAGCGAGAACCAGAGTATTGGAAACGGCAGCACTTGCTAAAGTCTTTGATAACCTAAGGAGAAAGAGGAAGGAAAGTTCTCTCGTATCCATCTGAGGTTCGATCAATTTTCTGCATTGAAAATACCATTTTATTTACAAAGGACAGGCATATTTATGATCACTAATAATAATATCATGGTCATTAAAATTATAAAATATTATTTTTAAAAATATTAATTTTTTTAATTTAATTGATAAAAATAATTAATAATTATGATTATTAACTAACAACTAATAAAATAATTAATATTTATTAATTAATAAATTAAAATTAATTAACAAAGTGATATTTTTAGACGTTATTTAAAAAAAATAAAAATTTTAATAACTTTAATAATATTAATGATGATAATAATCAACTCACTGTTGATTGCCAGAAAGCAATTCTTATCTAGAGAATTTGACCCTTAAATGAGTTTGAGGGGAGACAGTTAAATGTGCAACTGCTGATGACTGAGCATTAACTTGTGGAACTTTGGCCTAATTTATGCCTTTTGTTTCACTTCTATTTAGCTTGGAATATGAGTTGGTCTTCAATATGTATTTAAATGGAAATTATGAACTTGACTTTCATATAACAGTTGGTAAAATATATTTTTAGGGAAATTATAAACTTGATTTCAATAATCATTCTCTTTTCTACTTCTTCAACAACTTCTCCTAATACTATCATATATAGTATCATATGACAAGGCTGCGGCACACCTTAACCTAACCCCAGCAATTATATCCTCTGATTCTTTTAAAGAGTTTCTTCATTAATTTATAGAAGTAACATGAATTTCTTCATTTATAAGAGTCACAAGAATAATTATCGAGCTTTAATTAAATTTAAAAAATAAAATTAGAAATTAAACATCAAAAGAACAATTAAACATGTAAATCGTAATTCTCCGAACTTGAAATAATTAAAAACAAGAAATGTTTAATCTTAAAATTATAGCAGGATACATACGTTAAGTTTGAAAACATGCGTCCATTTGCCTTGTTAATTTGTAATCACGGTCAGCTGAATAACTAACTATCTATAAAAGTCATTTATTGAGAGCATCAGAGTATTGGATACGACGCCAGCTAGTCGCTAAAAGTCTTCAACAACCAAAGGAAATTGGTGGAGGAGATTTCACATGTATCCATTGGAGGTTCCATCAAAATTTATGCATT